CCTACCCCTACTCCTCCGAGCTGCACACTGCTGAGCTCACTGAGCAGAGTGGCATCACTGTTCCTTGTCCTTTGCCTCAGTGCCCCACAGTACCCCCGGGAGGCTCATCCCTGCTGAGTTGGACACAAATGGTCCATCTACTTTCAGCGTTCAGCTGGGGGTTGTCTAGCATCTTCTCTCCCGACACTGGGTACAGACATCAGGGTACAAGCAGGGCTGTCCAGGAGTTGCTGTGGGGGTGGGGGTCAGACTTCTACTGAGTAGTGGTTCTGGGGGTCTTCCTGCCCACCTGTTGCTCAGGCCTCAGAGGGTCTACAGCTCCCCAAGTGCTGAGCAGCACACCTATCCAGCTCCACAGCCCTTTATCAGCCTGTGCAGTGAGAGGCAGCCCTGCAGGGAACCTGGTGGTTCTGTGCTGCTCCCCAAGCACACTCTCAGGGACATGGTATCAACCCTTGGAATTGACTTGCTAGCACCAAAGGTCAGCAAGTGGCATCCAGAGCGTAACTACAGGCTGTGTCTTGGAAATAAAGTTGACAACCTGAACCAAAGGTGGTGGTGCACGTAGTGGTAGGGCCCAGAGCCTGGGCAATGCTCCTCTGCCTATACCCTCAACCATACCACCGGTCAGGGTGGTGTGGACACAGTGGGTCCTTGATGAACATAAGCAATATCGACACAATTCTTTCATAGAAAGAGACCCTGGAAGCTTGGGACAGGTAGAGGAGACTCCTTTGCTGTCGAGACTACTGCTTGTGCATCAGGGACAGAGCAAAAGGGAAGCTGCCCTGGTATACATGTTCAGGGCTCCTGGAGCCCACATACATCCCCCTTCCTTCTATGCCAGACTCAGAGACGGAACAATCTCCATACCTTGCATTCTTGACCCCTGGAGACCCAGACTGGGCTGGCTAGACCACTGGTAGTGTCTTCCTCTGGAAAGCCAGGGCCTGACCTCATCTCCGAAAAATACCACAGCTATGGTGTCCATAGGTCCCCTTCTGCAGTGGACCCTGAGAAGATGCTAGACAGCCCCCAGCTGAACGCTGAAAGTAGACGGACCATTTGTGTCCAACTCAGCAGGGATGAGCCTCCCGGGGGTACTGTGGGGCACTACTGAGCTCCACTCCCACACCCAGAGATTCACTCCCTGCAACCAGGAGCCACAGACTGGCCCAGGAATCCCCTCCAATGGAAGAGAATCCTCCAGAGAAGGTGTTTACATCCAGGCAGGTAGCCTCCCTCCATGTTCATACCTCCAGGGCTCTCTTGGCTCCCAAATGCAAGTAGGATCCACGGCAGACCCTCTGGCAAACGCTGCTCTCACAGCCCTCCCCCGTGCGGCTCCCAACAGCGTGACCCTGCGTGAGATCCCCATCCCAGTGTTGGTGTCTAGGAATCCCTAGGCTCGGCCCACCCTGGCCTCCTGAGCAAGGGCATCAGAAGGAAAGTGTGAGCGGACAGTGAGGAAAGTGAGGAGGACACACACATGTGCTCAAGCCTGCACCCAGTCCACATGGACACGTCTGCACACGTGTGTGCTGCCTCATCTCATGGTTGCCCTACTGCCCTATATTGTGGTGGAGGAAGCCTTAAGTAAAACCCAGCCTCCTGGCTCCTCCGTCTTTCATCTGCCCTGGAGAAAAGAAAATCAGCTTCAATTGCTTAGCACGTCTGGAGCTGGTGGATAGGTATCTAAAGGATAGGTAAGTACTATCTACCCCAGGAATTGTGAAACTTGCTCCAAGACATGAGTGGGTGGAGCCCTGACCAGTAAGAGAAGTCTTAACAGCTATCTTGGAATCCTCAACTCAGGTTCCAGGCCACAAATAATCACCCTAGGGAACCAGTCCCTGGGCTCTGAGGGCCTTGAAGAAATCACAAGAAACTGCCCCTGTCTGGGGAGCAGAGATTCAGGGACCAATCCCTGGCTATTTGTGGAGGAAGCAGAAGTGGACCAGGCTGGTCCAGGGCGAAGCTACAGGTATTTCTACGGCAGCTGGCCCCTCCCCATGGCCCAGGGCTTAGCAAAGCAGTCTAAAGGCTTGTGGGCCCAGAGAACAGCAAAACTGGCAGCATAATCCCCAGAAGGGAGGATACAGCCACACATCACACATACGCCTTCCCTGCTCTAGAAACCACTGACACCCACTCTCAGGGCCTACCAAATACAAAAGACCAGAGCCTGGGATTTAGCTCAGGGGCACCACACCTAACTTACAAACGCAAACTGCAAGGTCCCGAGTTAGATCCCTGATTCCTGGAAAAACAAACAAATAAACAAACAGCATCAAATACAAAAGGCCACAGAGTCCTGCTGAGAAGCTGCTGGAAGGGTGCTCATGTTGCATAAGACCCGGTTGGCTCCTTTGGCAGCTGTCAGTCCATCATCAAGTGGGAGAGAAAACCAAGCCAATGCATCTGCCACCTGCCTCGAAAGCACAGGGTCCTGAGTTCGATCCCCAGTACCTCCCCCCAAAAAACCTAAGCCAGTACATTGAGGCCTTGCAACAGTGAGGCTAATCCTGAACCTCTGTCTCTGTAGTCTTTAGAGCCAAGGACAGAGAGCCACATCCCACTCAGCAGGAGGCAGTTCCAGCCCTTCTGTATTCTGTGGATTGGGGTCACAGAGTTGTTAACCCCAGTTATGAAGTCTTCTGCAGTTTCTGGATCCTCACCTCTACCTCCCACAGACACCCTTGCTTTCCTAACCAGCCTCCCCAGCCCAGCATCAGGGCACACTGAGGATAGTAGAAGTCCAGGGGCCCCTCTTCTTTCCTGGTATCACCTCCTCCTGCCCCTGGCCAGCCTGCCATCCTGCCCTGCAGACCACAGGGAGAAAGCCCAGCCCAGCACTTCCAGCCTGCTACAGTGGGACCTTACACCACAGAACAGGAAGTGGGGGGCGGGGCAGAGATTGCGCAAGCCCCCGGCTCGGGCCAAAACATCTGGAGAAGTGGGACGCTGGCGCCAGCCCTACCTCGTCCTCCTGGGGCAGAGCCAGGCTGCCCACTAGATGGAATGAGCCTCTCCTTATTCATCCGAAAGGTGAGAATAAGAGAGCCCTTCAAAATGCCCAGCATTTCCGCTACACCCATCCTCCCATGACCTCATCAGGGACACAAGGGCCCAAATGGGGCCTCACTTTCCCTCCTAGATTTTGAGGGGCAAGGAGGGGGAACTTTTCCCACAGGAAGGGGGAGTCATTGTTTGGGCGGAATGGCTGCAGGGGATAAGAGAGGAAGGGGGTGGGCGTCACATCCAGGCCTGCCTCACTAACAGGGATTTATGACATATTGTCCCCCCCAACCCCGGAAGCCCCTGGCAGCAGCACACAGTGCCACAAATAGCTGGGTGGCTTCCAGCAGGCAACAGGCAGCCACTGCCCTTCCCTCCAGCAGGCAGCAGGCAGCAGGCAAGAGGCAGCCCCTTCCTCCGCAGGAAGTCTTGGTTGGGCCCCAGCTGCTCAGCATAGAAGCAGTAGCAGACCCAAGCTCCTGCCTGCTGGCTTTATGTAGGATGGGGTGCCTCTTCCATCTGACTGACCCAGACGTATGACCTGTTTCTCCGTGCTGTCCAGCACTTCCCATGGGGCACCCGATTGCTTTCTGAGGCCTGTAGGGTACTTTCCCAGAGTCAGGGTCCCAGCGATCAAAGACTGTTCAGGATAAGCCCCTTAAGGGTTTTTACAGGGCGAGGGCGATTGAGAGTTGTAATTCGGCTTGTAGAGGACCCGGTGGACTCAGGCACTGTAGAATGGCAGAGTAGGGTGGAGGTGGCTTTGGGGCCTCCTTCCTCGGCGGCCTTTCTTCCCCTGGGTCAGGCACTGCCCTCCCCACGCCTTCGTCCTCCCTGAGGGCACCAAGCTGACCTCGAGGTTACGGGCAGGGCGGGCAGCAGGCACCGGGTCTTGGGGAGCAGGCATCAAAGTGAAGGGCGGCTGCCGCCCAACCAAGTGAATGTTCACAAGTCCCGCAGCCCTAGTCTTGGCCTCCGCCCCTTGAGCAACCTGGCCAGCTCTGACCGCCCCACTCAGGTCTTGGGTGAGCTCCTTCGGTATCCCTGGACGGCAGGAGGGCTGGGGACTCCACCGCCATGGCAAAATCTCCGCTGTTCCCTTTCCTTCCTACCCCCGCCGAGGGGCAGGGCTTCTGGATAGTCCAGGTTCTACTTCCTGCCCCC